TTCTTCATCTCCCAACATCGAATCTGTGGGAAAACTACATAAATGGACAGCAATTTTGTCTCCCTTTGTGTCAACTTCTGGAGTTTCATCTATTTTAACATTTGATTTTGTTGGGCCACGTGCCAGAGCAGCAGCAGTGGCCATAGTACCAACCATGGCTTGTGGGCCGTAGCTAGTGCCTGACCAGGATGCATATGGCAATACATATGACAGAGCCCTCACCAAGGGCTTATAGGCCCCCTTTAAGTACTGAAAGGCAGCAATAACGTGTCCCCAAAGCCTTCTCTTCTCCAGGCTGAACGACCCCAGTTCTCTCAGCCTTTCTTCATAGGAGAGGTGTTCTATCCCTCTGACCATTTTTATGGCCCTCTTCTGGACCTGCTCCAACAGGTCCATGTCTCTCTTATGCTGAGGACTCCAGAGCTGCGCTCAGTACTCCAGGTGGGGTCCCACCAGAGCAGAGTAGAGGGGCAGAATCACCTATACATCATTATGCATGGTTCTTAATTTTTTAGCTGAATTGAAAGAAAATGGTGAAATAATGCTTAAGCATTGCTTAGTGACAATGAATTTGGAAGCTGATGTGTCCATGACATTCATCACTAGATGCTACTTTTGTTGTCTTACTGACTAATCATGCTATTTCCTCTCTGAAATGGCTATAACAATTTACCTGGCCTGGGATTCTTTATTTTTATTTTTTATTAATGTTTTTGAAGGACTCTTAGCATACTTGTGGATGTTCATTAGAGCAGAATTATAATGCTGGAGATTCTGCAGCTTGAGAAAACAAGGAGTTCAGGAGCTGTCTTGTTTTCAGTAATAATAAGAACGGCCATTATCTTTTAAATATTGTCAAGAGAAATAAATAGATTTATGATATACACAAAAGTATTGTGCTTGCTTCCCCCCCCACACATCTTTCCCCAAAAGGACTGGCATAAAAGCCAGTATGTTTTTCTGTATCCTAGCATTTCAATATCCATCAATTAAAGCAAAAGAATCAACTGCCACTGGTTTCATTGGGAAGCAGCGATGAAGATTACAAGAAGATTTTTTAATTTCTGTATTTTTAATGTTAGTCTGTAAAACAGACTTAAAGCCAAGAAATTAAGTGTAGGCAGGAAAATTCTTTCCCTTACATCTTTGTTCTGAACAGCATACAGTCTCAAATGGAAAACTTAGTGAGTGGTACTGTGTGCTTCTTGGGTGGAACAAGAGGCTGGAGCCTCAATCCGTATCCTTTTCCACGTTCCTAAGGATGAATCCTTTTCAGGACTGGCTCTTCTGTTTGTGTTGTTGATAGAATCATTGAATCATTTTGGTTGGAAAAGATCTTTAAGATCATCAAGTCCAACTGTAAACCTAACGCTGCCAAGTCCACCACTAAAACCATGTCCCTGTGCACCACATCTACACGTCCTTTATTTAAATACCTCCAGGGATGGTGACTCCACCACTTCTCAGGACAGCCTGTTCCAATGCTTGACTGCCCTTTGAGTGAAGAAATTTTTCCTAATATCCAATCTAAACCTCCTCTGGCACAACTTGAGGCCTTTCTTGAAGCCTTATACCTAAAATTTCCTCTTTTCCTATTGCTTGTTACTTGGGAGAAGAGACCAACACCCAGAGATGTGACAGGAGTTAAAACCAAGTGACACACAAAGTTGAAGCCCTTATTCTGCATAGGACCTTAGAGCTCAGATCCTGCAATGAGTTCAGTGTGGGTGTCCAGATCTTCCACATACCCTGATCTACAAGTAGCTTGGCAGTGCAGAGTGTCAACTCCAAATCCCTAAATTACACTGTTCTCAGTGGAACAGCTAAGAGATTAATGCTGCTGCATTTTACATGTACTCATTGAGCTTCAAGTATATGCTTTTACGTAACAGCTTTTAAGAAAGAGAAACTATGCCTGAAGAGTACTTGTGAAATGTAAAGCCATATATCTAAGGACTCACAAAAAGCATCTGCAACATGGACTGATTTCCGCAGTCATGCACTGTCCCCTCCTAGTGTGTTACTCAATGATCCTGGCCACAGAGTCAGTATTTTCCATGACAGCTCTGAAGAGTACTGAATCCACTATTGTGCTTCACTCCACCAGAGCTGCAACTGTACTAATAAGTTAAACACTGTCAATCACTGTCACTTTTGAGGCTTACAGGCCTGAGACTGCCTGCTTCCATTGGCGTCTAACTTTTTTACCTCCCAAAATGGGACAGTTGCATCCAAAGTGCCTGCTGGGAGTTTCTTGCGGTTGATATTCATTCCCAGACAGCAGCCAGGAGTTATTTGGGAAAGTGCTGTTTGGAGCAGGTCAAAACTACTGTTACCACAACGTAAATGACTGAGTTCCCATGCTAAGAGTATTTCCTGGTGCTATTAAACATACCAGTATCGGAGTAGCCTATTTTAATTAGCAAAGCAAAAGGCTTGTTCCCAACAGTATAATGGGAAACAGGGCTACTGAAAAAGACAAAATACCCTCCTAAGATTGCTCCAGCTTAACTAGTGCTTCTGAACAGCTCTCTTCCCTTCAGACTGATACTTAGGGGTAATAAGAGCTCAGGCTAGCAACCTGTTAGCAGGATGCCATCTTCTTGGTTTGTCTAAATTTTGGATCTCCTTTCACCTAGCTATTTTTGAAAGGTATCAGGATGCTGCTGTATTCAAATTAAATTCAACTCATGCTCTTCTTTCCTTAATATTAATTAGTTAGAGGAAGGCATTTTATTAGCATTTTCAATTAGCCCTTGAAGTTTTAGCAACCAAGTGACATGTTGCTCCAGCTGTCTGAGTGTGGAATACCTATGGACACTTTGATATGGTGATTTCCTTCTGGAGATGATGTTTTCTTCTCTGAAATGTTAATTGAAGTGTCATTTCTCTGACTTCCCCCTTTCCCTGCAGCATGACTTATGGTATTGTTATGCCTTTGGGTTTAATATTATGAAAAATATCATTCAGGTAATATTTGACAGTCTGGCAACTGCAGATGCATTGCTGGGTTTCCACAGAGATGATATACAACGAATTAACATATATGACTGACCTCATTGAGTTTGGCTTTAGTGAGATTCGGAAAACCTGAGTCCCTTTCTTGTGGTAGGAACTTTTTATTGATGTATTACTTAATGTGGTGTAGTAGGGTGTTTTCTGTATTCAAAGGCAGTGTACAGTCTTACTGAGAAACTTTATTTGCTTCCACTCTTGTAATCATCTTTTCTAATACCGAAACTGAGTTAGCTTTTCATCTATCAGTGTGCTGATCCAGGAAAGGCAGTATCTTAACCATCCACCCCAGTTTTATGCAAATAATGAGAACTAGCACTAGCCTTTGTCATTCTTTTGCCATCCATAAGGAATTAAGACATCCAGCTACACCCCCAAGTTGCTAGATATTTCTTTGCAGAGCTACAGCCCTCTAAAATATATTCCAGACTTTCTGTAAGATTTTTCAGTCTTTCCAGTGTAGAAATGAATTGTTATTTTAGCAATTTTAGCACAGGTAGAGAAACAAAAAATCTGCAATTTAAAACTTCAAGTTGCCAAGATTATGCTGTGCAATCTTACCACTCAACCACTCATCTTTCATGGAAAAGAATGTGTATGCTTAAAGCTTGGGTAAAAAGAGAGTATTAATTCATTTAACCTTTATATGCAGGTTCTTTGTAGATCAGGGAATCTTATGTTTTACTTGGTCCTTTCTGTATTGTGCCTTGTTTGAAGTCCCTGTTAACTGTCCAGGTAAAGGGAGTGAACTGGGGATACTGAGACTCTAAAAGCATGACTTACTACAGCTTGAGTAAGTACTCTGTATCTGAAGAGGTAACATGGTTTTGTATTGTGTAGCGTAGCACAGAAGAGCTTGTGGGTTCTTGTTCTTTGTCCCCACTTCTCCTCAATATACCCACTGACCAGTAGGACATTTTCAAACAATCTGTCTACTCACTATTTCAGATCATGGAGTGAAAGATAAAAACACACTTGGTAATCTGTTTCAGCAGTTAGTCATTATCACTCTTTGGCAGCCAAGGCTTTTTCTCCAAGGTTAAGTAGCTGTCTTTGGTAGTGGCATCTTCTCTTCAACAGAGCTAGCTGGTTGCCCTATTAGCAGAGTAATTCTTTGTGTTGAATGCCTCTTCAAGCACTCTTTCTACTCTTGCTTCAGTACTTTCATGCTTTGCAAAGCTGTATACAGAAACAAAATTGCCTCTTTCCTCTAACCTTATTCTTCTGAGTGACCAAAGACTTGAACAGATGCACATTGGTCTGCAGGTTATGAAACTGATTCCTGATCATGGCACTGAAACTCTTGTTTTTAGGGTTTGTTTATGTTGTTGCTTGTGACTTTGCTTAACTGTACTTGATTGAAACTGATACTACTTTGAAAATCTGCTTTATAAGGGATACAATTGGAAAAAAAAAAATTGCTCTTGCCAGAATAAGAGATGACAATGTTGTGCAATTCTGCTTCAACCAAAGACAAGCGTTTTTTTTTCAATGCTACGAAATGCTTCTAAATCTTGCTGCTTGATTAAGTAACTTGTTGTTAAGAGTGCATTGTGTTAGCATAAAGGAAAATTCCTTAAAATAATCATTTAAATTACTTATCTGAGATTTATGGAACTGGTAGAAGGATTTGCAGCAATTCAGTGAAGCAGTTGCATCCTGATGAATTCTGATAGTATGCAAGTCTGTGTTTTAGGAGCTTTGCAATGAGAAAAGAAAGCATAGCCACTGTAGACCCTAAATATGCAAATGACAATAATTGTTTGCTTAAAAATTCCTCCCAGAAAATGTCTTATCCACAATATAGGTTCTATCCTCTGTCCCATTTCATTCTGTCTGTCTCCATAACATTTTGTTCCACCTGTGATGTTTCTCAGCAGTCACATGATAAAATGTCTAGGCTAGATTCCAAGGGTGAGATAAAAAGCTGTACTTATTTTTATGGAAGCACTAACAATTCTATTTGGATTGGATTTTTTTTGTAGCAAAACCAATGAATTATTGAACAGATTGGACTTGGGTTTGCCAAAGAGTGATTCCTGTCAGATTGCTAATCATGGCCCAGAATCTACAGCATGGGTAAGCAAAACCATAGTATGTGCAATATTGTCTGTCAGCTTTCCAGGGCTGTCAATACTGTGATATTAGAATATTCTAATTGAGCTTAATTGCCTAGACATAACTCAGTGAGTACCAAGGAGTCTTTCTAGGTGAATGAGATTGCCTACATTACACTGGCAGAGTATCCTACCTAGTAGGGGACTGCCTTTATTACTCACAGACTTCTCTCCGATAAATGAGAGCCAGATTTATATTCCAAGGTCAGATCAGAATCTTAAATGTGCTCTGTACCCATCCACTGGTGGCAAGCTTTTATGAAATCTCAACTAGTTCATGTCAGCGGATGCTTTACTACATTGAAAATCTAGTCAGAAGAGAAGCTTATTTCTCACTGCATCCTAAAAGTGATTCTGTAGACTGCTTGGGGACTTTGTCCCAGTTTGAATTAGCCTGTTAAGTATCTATGTAATTAGGAAATACATAAAGTATTGCTTAAATTTCATTATTCTAACTGCATGCACCAGTACAGGTTAGGGGCTGACCTGCTGGAAAGGAGCTCTGAGGAAAAGGACCTGGGTGTGCTGGTGGACAGCAGGCTGGCCATGAGCCAGCCTTGTGTCCAGGAAGGCCAACAATGTCCTGGGGTGCATTAAAAAGAGCGTGGCCAGCAAGTCAAGGGAGGTTCTCCTTCCCGTCTACTCTGTCCTGGTGAGGCCACATCTGGAGTACTGCATCCAGTTCTGGGCTCCTCAGTTCAAGAAAGACAGGGATCTTCTAGAGAGAGTCCAGTGGAGGGCCACAAAGATGATGAGGGGCCTGGAGCATCTGCCTTACAAGGACAGGCTGAGAGAGCTGGGACTCTTCAGCGTGGAAAGAGAAGAGATTGAGAGGGGATCTTAGCAATATCTGTAAATACCTGAAGTGTGGGGGGCAAATGGATGGGGCTAGACAAACCTAAGGAAAAGCTTTGTTACTGTGAGGGTGACAGAGCACTGGAATAGACTGCCCAGAGAGGTTGTGGAGTCTCCATCTCTGGAGATGTTCAAAACCTGCCTGGACGCTTTCCTGTGCAACCTGTTGTAGGGAACCTGCTTTGTCAGGGGTGTTGGACTAGATGATCTCCTGAGGTCCCTTCCAGCCCTACTGTTCTGTGATTCTGTGATTAATTGCCTCCAAAAGTCTTTTTCACGTATGTCTCTTCATGTCTAAACCAAGCTTTCCTACTGATGTAAAAATTTGCAGTGAGGAACATTAACCCTGAGATAAGGAGAATTTCTCCTTTAGGGAGAGTTGTCATTGAGGGAAGAAAGGGAGCAGGCATCCAAGTGGACAGAGGATTGTCGTTACAAGCAATAGTCCTTAGTCAGCAGAAACTTGGAAGTATCCAATCTGGGCAGCTGTCTGTTTTATACAACCTTAAACATCAACAGTTGAGTAAAGAGAGGAAAAGATTTACCTCCATGTTTCCTTGGAAGCCTTGGAAATGTGCAAGACCCTTCTGTTATAGAAATTGCTGCAAACAGAATATAAGACAGCTCTGTTTTGCCTCTAGTATCTCTTCCTGTTTTTCATTGCATGGAAAGGGAAGATGATACTGCAAATACATTCCTTTCCCTTTTGATTCCTCAGGTCATTCTGTGTCTCTGGAAACCCAAAAGAAAACTTTGTGCATGTGGACACGTATATAGCTTGAAGGAGCCAACTTTTGACCAGTATTGCTGTGCAGGTCAATTGCAGCTGAGTGGCTTTCAGACTGTCTTTTGTAGTCCTGGGCAGACAAGCAAGATGAAGGACTATGGGAAGGGAGGAAATATGTCTTAAAACCACTTCTACCTCCCTCTTGAAGCATCTGATGCTCCAGTAGGAGGCTTGTTCTTTGGTAGGGATGACCCAGCTTTGCAGCCTTTCATATGCTATGAACATTGGACTGCAAAGGCAAGTGAGCTCATGTCCCCAGGACTGACTTGGATTTCAGCATTTTGGTGTGGTGTCTTCATATCTATACAGAAGTTGGTGGATGCCTGAAGGAATATTGAATTCTTTCAGGTGTACAGGTCCTACTTTTAGCCTTTGTCTTCTACTTCACCTCCCTGTGAGTGTTTTCTCCATCCAGTTTTTGAGGGGTTTCTTAGTAAGATGTGACAAATTACATACCATAGTTAATATTTTGTTTCACTCATATCCAAGCAGATAAAATAAATAGTTTATCTGTACTGTCCTTTATTAATACCAGCTGATATTATACATGTCTTTTGCATGGCAGCATTTCTATAGCTTTGTGAATCAATTCATCACTTGCTTATAAAGCAGCAATGCAGTTAGCAAAATGTCTTCCCAAACAACTTGGATGAGGTACGGTCTATAGACATATGCACAGCCCCTGTGCTCTGTGTGAGGAATCTGAAGCACATAACTGATTAATTGTTACCTAAATAAACATGGCATAGGACCAAAATGCTAAACCAGTGGGAAAACTTGAACTCTAATTCTGATGTCTGTCCTTTGTCTGGAGTAATTAAAAGATTCAGGAACAATGTATTTGAAATAGTGAAGTGTGATAAGCTTAGGAAGTGCCTGACATGCATGTTAAAAGGAGGGCACATATATATGTAATTTTTTAAATTTAAAATTAATGATCTAAACCAAGTTTGGGACAATCTAATGCTGATCATTTTTTTCCCTCACATCTTTTCTTTGATGGTGATATTAATTTAGAATACCTAGTTCAAATATCAGTGTCAAATATTACTTGAAGTGGATGAACAAATTTGACTTCTTTGGAGTGACTCTGTCATTGGTGACTTTTTTGGCCCGCTTATTTAATCAAACTCATAATTAATTTTAATCCTGTCTTTAAAAGTGTTACCAATCCAGTGTAGATTTTTATTGTCTTCCAACTTGATTAACATACACTCCACACAATTCTCCAAACCATTACAGAGAGTAATGAATAATATTGGATCCAGAATGAGTCTCCCTGGACACATGTAACAACTCCTCCCAGCTCAAAATTGAGCTATTAATAATTGCTTTTTCTATTCAGTCTTTTTAGCAAATTATGTGCCTGTCGTTTTAATGGTGTCATTCTGCACGCATATATCAAGTTTTGAGAACATTGTGTAGACCTGCAGCAAATTCCTCACTAAAGTCAAACCTGCAGACTTCTTATATTAAATTATACCAGCTCATTATTTTGTGTGCTAAGCTCTGTCCCTGCTCAAAGACTTTACAGTATAAGAACCTAAGGATTCTATAAGATCCTAATGGTAGGCTGGCTCTTTGCTAAGAACTACAACTTGGGAAAGACCAGGACTAGTATTTGTAATGACCTACACAGTTGAATAGTTTATTCCTGGTGTGTAGTTCAGCTTTTCAGTTCTCTTGCCTGCCCCACCAATAATATAGCAGACTTGATCTCTCAGTGTCTGTTGTCCTACCTCCACAACTGCCTTTCAAATACTCCCGTGGAAATAATCCTGGGTTCCCATCTGTTACCATGCCTCCCTTCTGCTTTGTTATCTAGGTAATATTTTCAGTACTTTTATTTCTTCCCAGAATACCCTATCTCACTATCATATATCCTGATTGTGTTTTCTGACTGCTGAGCTTATCTTTATGCTTGCCACTGGGACATGGAATGGTATGTGCTGTGGCTGCCTTGTTGTGATGTGCAGATGGACATTCAGCCAAAACAAATGACTGAGAGGCTTTAGACCACTTCTTGTTAGTTCTAGTCTTGAGACTAATCTATTTTTTAAGTGACTTGAATCATTCAGCTATTTCTGTTTTGTTAATTAAGTGTATAAAGATTTGGGAATAAGGTTTAGGATTTTGGTCCCTGCTCTCCCACACCAATATGTTTATATTCTCTGCTGAAAAATAGACTAGGAGCCGTACTTATAAGCAAGTTCTCCGAGAGGATGAAAACAGAAGATTAGAGGAAATGAAGCAAGAACAACGGAGGAAGGTAATTATACATTAGCAGTTTGCATATTGTATCATTTTTGCATGCTGTGAAACCAATTAAATACATCGATTACTTGTAGCCTACGCACAGAGCTTCCCTTTAGCAGAAGTGGTAGAGTCACTCTTTTTGAACATTGTGAGAGAGATGAGCCACACTGTAAAATTTGGACAGGGACAGGACAAATATCTTCTGGGTTCAAGGGTGAACCTGTTTGCATGTGGATGACTCGCCTCTCCATTTGAACAATTGTGCAAAGCATTTTTTGACCATGGTACCTGATTTCATAAGCTAAGGAAACCAATTTTCCCTCTTTCAGGCAGTAATCTTACTGAGATATCCATGATAATCTCAGACTCTGAACAGTCGCTTCCCAGAGAATCGAGGTCCATGCCTCCCCAAATGGGGATGTAGAATCACTCAGATTTTCTGTTAAGTCTGCATGTTCCCTTGCTAACCACCTACATGAAGAGCTTTAAATTGTCTAAAAAGCAGGCATGCCATAACTGCAAGTTTGAACTCCTTATTCTGAACCACTGTAGTCCCTCTGGCTTGGACTTCATGGGATGCATCTGTGGGTCCTGAGGGAACTGGCAGATGAAGTTGCAAAGCCACTATCCATCATATTTGAGAAGTCATGGCAGTCTGGTGAAGTTCCCGCAGACTGGAAAAAGGGGAACATAACCCCCATTTTTAAAAAGGAAAACAAGGAAGACCCGGGGAACTACAGGCCAGTCAGTCTCACCTCGGTGCCAGGCAAGATCATGGAACAGATAGTCCTAGAAACTATGCTAAGGCACATGGAGAATGAGAAGATGATTGGTGACAACCAACATGGCTTCACCAAAGGGAAATCGTGCCTGACCAATCTAGTGACCTGTTATGACGGGGTTACAACATTGGTGGATAAG